GCCATGTACTATAGTCGTTGGATATTTCAACTGCGATATCACAAAAGTGGTTACATAAGTATGTATATTTCTACGCAAATATTTCTCGCTCACCTTTCTCGACAAGCTGCAATACAGCATCTCGCATGTCATCTCTTTCTGTCTCGGCTGACTTAACGATTTGGACATATTGGCCTAGTTTTACCTCTAGCTGACGCTTTTCTTGGGCTAAAGATTTCAGCTCTTCTGCGTGAGTATTCTGCATCAAGTCCAAGGTATCAAGAGTAGATAATAGGCGCGTCTGAATATGCGATGTCCGAGCGTTGTATGCTTGAATCTTAGCTTCAAGCTGTAATATCTGTGCTTCCATAGTACATAATGAATAATTAGCGTAGATATTGAGAGATTCTGGCCGCACTTGTTCGTTTTTTTCCGCGAGAAGCGATGTGAGTTGAGTTTTGTGGAGTCCCATGACACATATTAACCAAGCGTAGTATCAGAATCGAATAGATAGAGTGTTAAATCAGAGAAAAGAAATTAGGCGCCTTGTTGATGATGGCCGTCAAGGTCTAGGGCAGGCTCCTAGAAGCAGCGCTCTCGGCTTTAGCTCTGCGAAAATCATGTAGTTATGTAAGCTTATCTAGGAGAGGTGATGGGATCAATGTGCAAATAAACAGTTAAAGTTCTTGAGCGAAGCGAGAGAGCGACTACAGTCGTCATCCTCATAACCCATACCCTTCCGTCCATGGCTAAAACTATGGGTTATTAGGGGTTATGGGCTAGTAGAATGTACTAAAAATAGATTAAAGCCAAGAAAAAATCCCACGGTTAGATAGTGCCTCCATATAACTGAAATAATCAATCACTATTAGTTTGTCGATAAGAAATGATGGTTCCCTTCCTGAAGAACTCCCAAATAGTCCTATGGGTTGGACAAGGCTCAATATTTGCATTATTGTCAATATCATCCTGTTTGCTATTGGTTAAGGCATTTTATTGCTTGTGTTGAAATAAGCGACGTAACGTTTGGCCTCGGTGAGCTCGTGAGGCAAACGGATAGTGTACAATCTCGAATGTACACTACTTATATACGAAATATCTACATAATTAAGATATATATATCAATGAAACTCAGCCACAAAAATGCAAATATGACTGCGGGCGTGGTCTGGATCGCGCTCACTCGTAAATCTAATTACAGTATTCCAACAGCTTGGGCATTATGCACATTCATTACTACCTGATAAATTTCCTGGTCAGTCGCTTCGTCAATAATAATAGTCAGATTGAGGACTTCTAGTTTGCTTTCTGGTTCTGAGCTTGCTTCTCTTCAGATTTAGGACTTTGAGATAATTTTGAGCATTTTAAGTAAAATTTTACTATGTATAAGAGTGTATATAATGTCAAGTTGGACATATTGTGGGCTGAAATGAGTCGAAAATGTGAAAATTCTATTTGCACTCCAAATAATTTGAAGGCTAAACGCTAATTACTTGGGCGCTAAGGGTGTGACCCCTACATATACCTATGGGGTTTTCACTGAAACAGGTATGGGTTATGGGGTATGGGGGGGTTATGGGTTATGGGGGGGTTATGGGTTATGGGGTCAAAATCCCTGCAAACCAAGTTGGTTTTACCAAAATTCTATGGGGTATAAGGGGTTATGGGTTATATGGAGTATGGGTTATGAGGATGACGACTGTACCACATTATATGACGGGGGTCTCGGGCATCTCACGTGTGATGTCACAATTTCTTAGATAATTTTGAGATAACCCCGCTTTCGGGTGAGCCGTGAATTACAATTTGAAACTACAATATTCTATGCCTCCTTTATCTAATTTCCAGCGAAAGTGACGAGAACAGACCAAAGATGAAGTCCATACTCTTGTTCAGCAAAATTTTAACAAATAGTTATGCTAGTTTCAATTAAAAGTTGTGTTGGCAATCTACTACAGTGGCAAGGATGTTGTAGCATGCGCTGCCACCAGGGCTGGAAAGACTTTAACATTCTGGATACTACTGCTCATGGCGCTGGCAGACGATTTTGAAGGCGCTATGGTGTTTATCGTTACGTCGTTGAATCTTCTTAGCACACAGAATATCGAGGTGCTTGTGAAGGTGAGTATTCCAGGAATTGTAGTAAGTCATGACAATGCCAATAATCAAACATTCAAGGTGAGAATAATCCTCTGCAGGTTTATGACAATGAAACCAATACGCTAGCTGCAGATCATTGAGAGAGGAGAATACCGAGTGGTTACAATTAATCCAGAACTCCTGATGAAGCCGGGTTATCTCAACATTATGTAAGAAATTATGACATCACACGTGAGATGCCCGAGAACCCCGTTGTATAATGTGGCAGCCGCTCTCTCGCTTCGCTCAAGAACTTTAACTGTTTATTTGCACTTTGATCTTTTGATCCCATCCTCGGATTCCTCCTGCATACCTCCTGCATACATAAGCGTACATATTCTCGCAGAGCAAAGCCGAGAGCGCTGCTTCTAGGAGCCTGGGTCTAGGGTGGGATTATGGTTTCGGAGTCGGGACCAGCCTAAGTGACCGTTGCCAATCATGTACAAATATAATTATGTCACGCTGAGCTATGTCGCGCATGTTACTCCCGTCCCACTACCACCAGCCACCACCACCATAACAAACTGTGGAATCTGCTCAATCCTACAGTGAATAAAGTTCGGAAGCTAACTGCAATCCCTTATATACGTTACTTAAATTTGATTATACCCGTTAACCCTTTATTTCAGCCCAGGTCGCAACTTAGACAGCAGTCCCATTTGGTGCAAGCCTCAAAGGGTTTATAACCCCACAGGGCAGGAATTATGAGAGGTATAATAATTGATGCTCTGAGGATCCAGTTTTGATTGACGTTTGTTCAAACGGCATAGATAGATCATTTTTTCTTCTCTCTTAACCGTTTTATTTTATTTTATATCTTATTTTATTTATTTTAATTCTGAAAGCCTGCTCCTTCAGAGCACACACGACGAGCCGAAGAGAAGCATATTCATTTATGTACTTGATATCCTGTATTATGTGGTCAACCAAATTGATTCTCAACTCTCAATTACAACTTCTTGAATGTTTCTGGACGCATCATATCTGGTATTCCTCGATGATGCGATACCCAATTGATCTGCTAATTTAAGATCCAACCGGATGACTTCTAATTGTAAAGAAAAATGACGAGCTGGGAAATACGACGAAAGAATTGGCGATCCAGCTCCATGACTAAGGTTCTGATTCTCTCAGAAGAATCGAGTGGTTCAGTTATCGGCTTTTGCTGATCCAACCGCAAGACTTCCCAATTGTAAAAAACGATGACGAGTTGGGAAATTCGACGAAAGCATTGGCGGTTCAGCTCCATGACTAATGTTCTGACTCTCAGAAGAATCGAGTGGTTCAGCTATCGGCTTTTGCTCTTATAGAATTGGCTTGAACCTAATACAATATCACGCCACTGGATCCGATATGACGGGGCTATTACCTTATGTCCAATGAGAAAGGGTGCTTTTCCTGAAGAACCAATATGAGGTGAGTTTCTGATTATGAAAAACAATGCAGTCCATGTTCATATCCGACACCCACTCAAGGAGTGGATATCGGATGCTATTATCAAACTAGATCACGTTATAAATTCCCGCATCGCAAGGGAGGAGCGTTACCCATGGTTCTCTCTTCCAATTTGACTCTTATGATGCCACATCTTTGTCCGCATATCTGGATATATTTTGAAGATCTGAGAGGATTTTCTGCAATTGATGGCCGCGCCGCTGTATGGTGTGCTTTACCCCTGTGGTATTTGTCAGGAGTTGGTATAGCTTCTGTATATGTGTGAATGTTGTGAAATTTCTATCGTTCTATTTATTATCTAATTCTGGTTACTCAGGGAACGAATGGTTACTCACTAGTACTCGGATATCATTTATGAGACGCTCTTGCGCTATGATTCACGAAATAAATCAAGCAAGCTAATTTCGACGGAACGCTTCACATCTTTTGACACACGGAAACCAACGCCAAGTCCGAGTCGATTTTCTCAGTCGTAAGGTACTTATGATTGTACAGTATTGTTGGAGCTCTACTTGATGAATTACATCTCTAGTAAGGCTATGAGAAGCATCGCCCGTTATTTCATCTAGTCTGGTAAGCTGTTGTTGCAAACCGCTTCTATCTGGTTCCAGGCATTCTATTTTTACCCCGAGAAGTCGCCCAATCTAAATGGGAATTGAGTACATTAGATCCCGACCGGTCAATAAAATGGTGAACGCGAATTACCCACATGCCTGGCCGCCGTGCACGGCAATGTATTTGTTCCCCGGAAGTCAAAGTGTGCTATTGAGGTACATGCGAAGTCTTGTCGAACACGCATACTTCGCTTGGGATCGGAGAAGGCTACGGCCTGCGCGGATGTCCTTTCCCTTCGGAAACACCCTACGACACCGGGAGGCGATATCTGTGTGTGCCCGTATATCGTCATTGGTTCAGTTCGAAACGATAGTCAGAATTAGTCCTCAGAAGAGGGTACGTCAGCAAGCTCATTTTAGCTTCTTTTCAAAGCTCGGAGCTCATTGAGACGAATTCATTTGTTCCTAGAAAATTTTCCGCTTATTTTAGATCCACTGCCGCTGATATCAATTGTCTCCATCTAGCATTTCTGACCGAGAGATATATGGCCTATGAATATCAGCTATCGAGTCCATCGTATCAAGGATGGTATCACGTATACTGGAAACAACTCACTTACCGGTACATTATATAAAGATGTTATACATTATTCGACCGGACGCCTTTTTCGAAATTCCGTTATCACATTTAATATCGATGTCATGGAATTTAAGTGCGCCGTCAAGACTTCAACAAAAACGTAATGTCGATACTATAACAATGATTTAAAAGAGGCCTTCCTGAAGCAGTAATTTCTCTCCCTATCTATGGGACTATAGGTATAGAATTCCTTTTCAAGAATTCTCGATAGTCACAGTAGATCTCAAGGACATGGTGAGATGACCGAGCGGTCTAAGGCGCTAGAATCGGGTTACCGAATCTATCTAGTCTTTCGAGGCGTGGGTTCGAATCCCACTCTCATCACATTCATGCCGGAGTGTATTGTACTGTATGCATTTTGCTTTCAGATGGGTCATTCCGGAGTTGCGATACATCACTTAAGACTAGGCGGCAGACGGATGCCAGACACGAGTGACAAGGCTTCGGAATCAGGGTTAAACATCTATTTGGAATACTGTACCATCGCAATCAATTCGTCGGTCATGCGTCACACCCCTTTTTTTCTGACAACGGATTTTATTTTTTCTCGATTTATGGCGATTTTGGAGATTTGTCGGGAAAATGAAAATATCACATCTGCGACGAATTGATTGCGATGGTACAGTATTTACGTGAAATTTGAACACGGTACTGATTGAACTAAAAATTCAAAAGCCTACTCTCAAGATTACACGTATGTTTATTGGACAGCCTTCTTCTCTAATTTAGGAAGTATGAACTATATGTGGCGTCTTTGTGTAGCAAATGTGTGATACATTTTGTTTGTATGATACTAAAAATATATCAGCTAGAGCATTAGACGAAGCTTCACTTTAAAAAAAAATTTAAACTACGACTACCAGGAATATAACGGCTTACATGATGATTAAAACAAGAGCTTGTTAGTCTGACCACTCGCATTTCTGCACTCTCGCATGCAGCATCGCCTACCGCTGACATGTCTACCAATGGCTCGAATCCACTAGCATGTCATGTATAAGGATTGATGTACGTAAATCTTACTAGAGAAATTCACACTTAATAGTCTCTCGGAGAATGTAATGTTACAATGAATTCGTTCTGGACATGGATCAACAATTTACTGAATATTGCCGCCGATATTTCAGTCTCCTGTTCAATAGAGGCAACGCTGGATGCGCACGTACATTTTGTTTCTGTTCTGGAAGACTGAACCCACTCTTCAGAACGGCGTGTCATCACAGGTCATCGCGCCGATGAAATGCTCCAGGTTCTCAGGATGGGCTGCTTCTAGCTAACTGCTCTAACAGCTGCTTCACTTCATTACAACGTTATCCCGGCTCTTGCACTGACTCCACGCGTTTGAGGATCAACTTAGGGCCACTCAAAATGGAACAAAGACTTTCTTGTTTACTAGCGGAGGCAGAACCAATTATATCTGTCATTAATAAGATTTGTACTAATAGTAGAATAAACGGATGAAGCAGATGTACTTCGATCAAGTACATTGAATGAACTGTGCTGTTGCGTGGGAATGAAATAAACGCTCAAGAGCAACGCCTACTTGATTACCATTCGTTCATCATTGCATCGTCAGTTCATGTCGATGAATTGTTACGTTGTTAGAGGTATAGCAGCTGTTCGATGGATGAGTCGATAGTATGATATGGCATTTGACAACTCACTTGGAAGTATCAGGATCCAGAATTGATAGTATCGACAACACACTTGGAACTATCACGATCTATTAATGATTGTGATAAGTTAGGATCGGCGTTGGCTGGTATCCGTAGCATCTACAATGTTCCATCCGTCGTCAGTGATTGTTCAAATTGTGTGTACAGTGCAAGATCGAGTTGGTTACTCGCTGCTGTGTCAAACAACCTCTGGGAGTTGTTGCTGTGAGATGTAGATGGAAATAGCACCAAGAATTTTAAGCACTCAACGTCGTGACGGGTTGAATTTACAGGCCTCAACCGCACACAAAATCCTGTATTCATAGTCAGCGCTAAGCCCCTGATATATGCCACTCTGATACACAATACACTCACCTTCGATTGCCACCGGCGCGCTTCTTTTGCTATCAATTGACGCGTAGGATCCTTGCGAGCGTCTGGATACCACTATTTTGATCCCGTATGTCTCCAAAAGTTACAATGAGCCATACCATCCACTGCTCAGTCCATATTTCACGGAGCGGGTAGTCGGAGCCCATACAGTGACGTCTACTCATATTCGGCAACTTGAGTGAACCGCATCCTCCATTCCTTTAGCATCATCTATCTATAAAAGGAAGACCTGAGCCATGGAGTCAGCGCTTTAGTGTGGAGGCGCAAACACCATAGACAGGTATCCGTGCTTCGAACGCATAGGTCGAAGTAAATATACAACAAAGAAGGTTTCAACATTGTATTTCAGCGGTGGATCCTATTTTTAGAATTGTTGAATCTGACGGACATAATGAACGCATGGGTGGGTGGCTGGCCGATGATGATGGAGTGATTGATGAAGTAAGAATGGCTGGAACGGAGTTCACGTTGAGTGTAACTGGGTCGTTCAGAATTTAGATCGTGCTTGGACAGAACGGTAAGTTGTGCCGAAAAAAGGACTGTGTTTTTGGTGTTACGGTATTCCTAGGTTTAGCTTGAAATTTGAGAGCTGACAGTTGGAATGCGCAGTGATGTAAAGGGGTACCTAAACGGATTGTCATTACGTCCATTGTATTGTCATATAGCGGTTGTGCGGAATGATACCACGTCCGAGGGTTTAATTGCGCAGACTGTATAAACGATTGAATATATGAACACAAAATGGACGGATTGATGAGTGGATTGACCGTACAAAGTGGAATCCGGATCGGAGTGGGCGCCCAGATGAAGTAGATCTAGATTTAATTAATGCAATGCAGTTTTTACGACAACCCAAAGACGAATGAAAGAACGAGCGAATGAACTGGTATCGGACCGCATCGCCACCAGGTATTACCTGTTAATTTATACAGACGCGTAGATCCTGCTCCGAAATGGAGTTCATCAAAAACAAAGACTTTCATCCACGTTCCGACTCCTTGATATTAAGAACAATGATTTCATGTTGTCGATATTAGCATAGATATGATATGATAAATCATCATATCTCATTTGTCGAGATCGCATAGGAGATGGTATAAGTAATTTCAAGCTAACTGTTCTTGGGAATAAGAAGGCTGTTTGAGATACAGCGGTACGCTGTACCCAGCACTAGTCATAATTAGACATGTAACTGTATCAGGATGTAAATAATTACTAGAATGTGAGTTCCAAGCTTAATGAAGGAGTTCAGCAACCAGTCCGAGATATTTCTTTTACAGGTAGAAGTATTGATAAAACCTTATAGAACAGCGACAGTTCTGTCTGCGGGAAAGCTTGCTTCATAAGCAGAATGAGGTTTGAGCATAGATTAGATTAGATTGTACTACAAGTAATATTTGTCTTCGTTCTCGAATCCAAACAACCCATGTGCTTTCTATATCGTTCTTCAACCTTCCCTCTACGGGGTCTTCTCTACTCTGTCTTGCTGTTGCCCTTATCCTGCGGCATTCGGTCAGATTCTTCGAACTCGGATATCTGCTCAGTCTCTCCGTTTTCCCCAGTTCTATACACCTCTTTATACTCGTGTCCTGCGCGTCCTCATACGTTTCCCTCCCCGTTGTTTTCATCTGGCATCCTCCTTACCTTTAACCTATCCTCCTTTACATACCGTCAACGCGCCTCTCCTTATTATCCTTCCACCTCGTCAGTTATCATTTCCTTTCGATGACAACATCAGACAATAATCAACAACACACTCTTATCACCGACGATAACGTTGATGCCGTTGAGCACGGCATCGTATGGCCCATTCGCAAAGTCCTGAAACTCGTCCCAACGTGCAAGAACCCAAAGTTCCGAAAACCCAACAGTTTCTGAATTCTAGTTTCTAGTCAACGCGACAACAAAATAGGAGCTAAGCCCTTGATAGATAGGAGGAAAGGTGCAGTACTCCTGCTGGCGAAGACAGGTGAGGCGATATTGTGGAAGGAGCCTGGCATGCTGCTGTTTCATGAGCAGATTTGCTGGCTGGACGGTGCTGCCTGATGAGAACGTCGCATACCGCGCTGGGATGTGCAAGGATATCGAGCTATATTCTGCCCCACTTCTCTCAAGTCTGCCTGACCTCAAGCCCGTACTCGTACCCTTTGATAGCTAGTGGTACAGTTTCCCTCAATTATTCTGCCGAAAATACTATTCACACCCAATAAGGAAGAGAGTGACACTGTTCGTGACCTATACTGCTACGACGGCTGCGAAGACGGCATCCCGTCCTTTCTGTCGAGGCTGCATCCACCCATTCCGAAGTCTACAAAGGCTATTGGGAGTATCTTGTTGTATATGAGCGGTTGGAAGCACTTCTGAGTGCTTCCTACTCTCGTTTACCATCGTCTAGGCAGATCCTTCTTCGCTGCTGGATATGCTGATCTGTAGTCGGTGAGCGACACTGATGCAGAGGTCATGTGCGTTGGTGGTCTATTTATCCATGTCTTCACGAGCTGATCTTAGGTTGCAATCCTTCCTTCTGCTGGTGTTCGCCGTGCTGTGTCCACCGGGTCTCCGTGGCGTATTATCTGGTGGGGCGCATGCATAGGTCAATATCGCCCGAGGCGTTACAACAGTGGGTATTGCGGCTGGATTTTCTCATATTGTACAATCGAATGCAGTGGGTAAAATATCATCGCTTAGGGTCACATTTATTGGTAGATTTAAAATCGATGAGGTAGTGTTCGTCTGTGGTGTGGAAGACGCCGAGAAAGTTCATAGCCACATTTGAGACAGAGACAGAAGCCGAAGGCCGGTCAGCGACCGGAATGCCAATCGTAACCGCGCCCAGGCCACTGTACAAGCCTAGACATCTTCCATTCAGTCCGCCAAGAATATTGCTGTTAGTCCTCGATGTTAATTCCACCTGCACCAATACCAATTTCTACTCGGGTCTAATAATATTTATTAACCTTTCAATAGATCTAAACCAAGTGAGCTGCTCGCTTGTCTGCTGGAGGCGTATGAGGAATAACCAGCTCCATAAGTAACCCCCGATGCTCGAATTGGTTCCGTTCAAGCTGTTGGACCGTCCGTATCGACGAGTGACGGAGTGTTGGTTTTTCTTTTTCTGCCCGTACTGATCATTCCATCGAGAGACTTCAGTAGATACGTCACTAGTCGATGGTAATATTTCTGCCAACGTTTGAACTATATGGGCCATGGTAATCTTCCGATTCTTGCTTCTGTCGTGGATGTCATTTGAGGGACGCTATCCGGGTGCGTCCTTCG